TTCCTCCCTTCCTTGACAAAAAAGTTACTTTTTTGTCAGGTATTTGTCACAACAATGAGAAAAGTAATACAGCATTTTACCAGCCAGGAGGGATTTCTTTTTGGTAGCCTTTTGGTTGTTATTGTTGCGGTACCGCCCGTTGTTGGATCTCTCCTGGGTATAAAGGGCAAATAACTGATGATCCAGGAAGACCTATTATGAACTCAGTTCTCACAGAGCTCATGGACTAGTTGTCACTGTTGTCTTTAAATACCTTCAAGTAGCTTTGTAGATGCTCCAAACACAAATCCAGGTTTGCTGAGACCCCGGACCTCTCTGCATCGATGAAGACAATGACAAAGACACTGTCTTTCTCATCAAGTGACTATGCATATGCTCAGCCTGCATGCTGACCTGAGGTAAGCACTGATCAATGTCAAAGTGGGCCAGTCTAAGTGAGCAAGACCAAAGGTGACTGTGTGGGGCTGGCAGGGACCCAGCATGGTAGGGCAGTAGCTTTACGCCATGTTTATTAATCCTAAAGCATGGCAGAATATAGTCTAATCTCAATTTCATAATCTAATTTCTTTATGCCTATGACCTAACTACCTTAATCTGCTTTTTGAAAGTGTAACATTGACCATAAGGATACAGTGAGAAAGAGTGAAATCTCTGCAGGTGGCTGGTGGTTGATTAGAGAAAGAGGGTTTGGGGACAGATTAATGGCAAAGGCCCTTGCTGCTGAGATTGGTGACCTGAGTTCAGTCCTTGAGACTCACATCTTAGAGGTGAGAAGCTGACCCCTGAAAGTTGTTCACTGGTTTACAAATGCATGCCATAGTGTAATTTAAAAAGCACACGAGGATATATATATCACCATACCTGACTTGGCCACCATTTTAAGATTTATTTTTATTTATTTGAATATACTGTAGATGTCTTCAGACACACGAGAAGAGGGCATCGGATCCCAATACAGATAGATGGTTATGAGCTACCATATCGTTGCTGGGAATTGAACTCAGGACCTCTGGAAGAGCAGTCAGTGCTCTTAACCACTGAGCCATTTCTCCAGCCTCTTGGCCACCATTTTAAACACTGCTTCCATCGAAAGATACAATTTGAGACAAGGAGAGGTGACATTTGTGGGACCAAGTGCCAAAGGGGCGTGTAATGCCCTTGTTCAAAACTCATGAGGAATTTCAAGAACAGCCTCAGAGTTTTAACTCCAAAGGGCAGCCCTTTGAGTGTGGGGCCCAGGGGTGGGAAGCTTTTGGAAGTCTTCATGGGGTCACATGAAACTGCTTATGACTGTGTGCCTTCGGTCAGAGTGAGCCCTGCCACTGCCTTGACCAATGAACTGTAGCAGAGGTGACATTGTGACAGTTTCTGAGATGAGTCCCCGAGAGAATGCCTGCTCCACTTAGAGTATCCTGGAACTCTCTGGAAGCCTGTGAACAGAGAGTCTCATGGGTGAGTTTATGTGCAGGTGGCAGTCTCAGCTGGGCCCAGATTTCCAGCTACCCTTTCCCAAGTTGTGTGACAAGGTCATTTTCTCTGTTTTGAGTAGCCCACTCATTATCTGGGTGCCAAGTGACCTTAGTTCACCCCACAGTGAGCAGAGCCACTTGGCAAACCACAAACTCTATAGATAGGGATAGAATGAAATTGCTCTTCCTTTCAGTCACTAACGTTTGGAAAAATTCTTTCTCACTCCTGAGGAAGAAAAAAAATGCTTCCATTTGATTTGAGTAACATGTCAAACTAACAGTGATACCGCTCTTCAAAGCATCTCAGAGAAAGTGATCCTGTGGCTGGCTGAGTCTGAATTTTGAAATTACTTGGGACAGCTGGGTTTTGTGGCTTAGGACAAAAGTCCCATCACAAGAGGGATGAGACTGAGGCAGGAGGATTGCCATTAGTTCTAGGCCTGCCTGAGTAGATTGTAAGACTGTCAAACACACAAAAAGAAGGAGGATAGGGAGGGGAGAGTATGGAAATAGATCCAGAGGGGAGAGGAAAAGAAGGAAAGGAAAGAAGAAAGAGAGAGACATTATGAAAGAATTACTTTGGTACATATTAGAAATAGAGGTATATTGAGTTTGTGAGACTGGACCCTTCAGGTCTTCATGTTCAGTTAACTCCCAGGTGATAACCCACCTAACTTAAAAATCTCAGCACCACTGAGTCTGCACAAAAAGCATGGGCAGGAATGACCTAATTCTTTCCTGATTTTAGTAGGATGGCCCCCAGACAGCTCCCATAGCATCGGCTTGAAGCTTAGTAGGGATCTGGTACTCAGATACCATCACAGAGCTAACAAACTCTGCAGCATGAGAACAGGCAGTCATGATGGTTAGAATATATCCTAT